GAGAGGTGGTGTAGACTAGCTTTACTTCTATATGCTGATGATAATAATATTGGATTGGTATTGGCTGATATGCCTCCTTAAATATCGGCTATCGGTATTGGCCCCCAAAATTTCTGCATCTCTAGTTGTTACTTTCCTGGGGGAGTTACTCTTAACTATATAATATTATTGAGTTTAGCATCTCTTACTTGCACCTGGGATTTCTTTAAACCTTACAAAAATTATAGACACAATGTAGTGTCTACTCTATCTCCTGTTAGCACTAGATTTATGACCCAGATACCTTGTTTCTGGCAGACCCAAACCCTCAGACAGACCATGACCTCTCCATTCAATAATAGGCAAATTTTATTAATAGCAGATAAGAATAATTCAAACAATTCTATATCTACCAGTCCTAGAGCTGCACAGAGTCAAGTTATGTCTGGCTAGTGGAAACTTCACTGTGTGGTTGTCTCTTGAATGTCAGCTGTCAGCAGCCTGGAGGTCAGAGGCCAAGGCCCTCCCTCCCCAGTGGGGTGGGTGAGATGGGCTAGTGGTATGCCCTCTATCCATGATGGCTTTGGGTTCTCCTCTTGGGGACCCTTTGCTGCTTTGAGATTCATCCTTTTGTATATTTTTTTCCTTTGAGATGACTCTTCATCTTTGGGTATTGCTGATTGGTCTCTGTGTAGTCAGCATACTGTCCATGTTCTGTCCCTTCAGCATATTCGTTTGTTTTACAAACCCAACACATGCACACATCCTAATTTGATTCTTTCCAAATCAGTCTTCTCCTAACTTGGTCTATTCCCTGAAACTGGAAATCTCAAGGGCTCTGCAGTTGGGCACCTAATGCCACTTTATCTCATGTTATGGAACACTGCGGTACATGTCTTCAATTTTCTAGCCTGTGTGTCTGCTTGTTGCTTGCCTGTGTCAAACACAGTGGGCCTTGAAGGCATGAACAGGCCTTTTAGAAATCAATTAACCCTTGCTGCTGTCTAAGCCAATCCCCAAAAGCAAACTTCTAAATACTGTTTTCTAGTCATCATTCCCTCCCATGCTTGCTCACTTGGTAGCATGGGAGTTCCTTTCCAAACCTTTTATTTTTTGTGATAGCAGCAGTAGGGTGACTTTTCTTTGGTTATGAGCAGTACACATTAATTTGTCTTTAATGTAATTGGGATTTTTTTTTTAACTTTTAAAGTTGATGCCAAATGTTTTGTCAATGGAAGAGATCTTATGATGTTCATAAATGCAGTCTTAGACAGGATTAGGGTAATTTTGAAGAGATTAAGGAATTTATCTCCTTTATCTTTTTCTTTACTCTCACCATGTTAGCCTTAAAGTATTTCTGCCCAAGTTTTAAAAACATCATGGTCTTCCAGAGCCTCCTTCCCATAAACACCAATCACAGTAGCTTTTTATATATTATTTAGGCAAAGGTTAACTTCACTTTTAAGGGCTGTAAATATTCTGATGAAATGCTTGTGACTTTATTGTGTGGGTGTAACTAAATGGTAAATGCTTTCAGTAATATTTGTTGGTTTGTGTAGCCAAGGTTACTTTTAGCATTTGTAGCATCATGCTTAAAGTAATCCATATAGAAGTTGTCCAGCCTTTTAATTGCAATAAAAGAATTAGCTGAAGTATTGACATGGTCTGTTGAATCTCAACAGCTTCTCTCAGCAGGAGGTTCCAGATTCTCGTTGCCAAGCAGATGGAGTCTCCTCCCTTGCTGCCCTGATTCAAGTGCCAGAGCTCCAGAGAGAGGACAAGAGTTCAGATACACCCCTTTGCTCACCATTCCCTATTAGCATATGGAGTTTTTTTAGATCACCTTCAGATATGTCTGATTCCCCTAAGGGTCCTAAATTTGGAGATCCATCCTGGGGGACCAGACACCTAAACTTTAAGCATTGTAGTTTTAATCAGTTCTTTAGATAACTAATTTCCAGAGATCTATTTATCTGCAGAGTACTTTTTACTTATTTTTCTTGTCTCCTCTCTCTTTTCTGTAACAGGGAAGGTACAGGATGTCTTTAGTAAGAGGATGCTGGAATATATTCTGAACTTGTGTCAGGGACATTATGATTTCCTGGTTCGAATGCCTGACAATCTGCTTATATATATCCTGTCATTTCTTAACATGGATGCCATTGGACAACTGTCAAAAACTTGCAAAAAATTTCAGCAGGTAAGGTTGAGGTACAGCTGGGATCAATCCAAATTCATGGGGGTAGAGCTTTACAGCATCATTTAAAGAAACACATTACTATGATTGATGGATCTGCTATTGTAGATTTCTCTGGTAAATAGATATGGAACCAAGCAGCAGTGGTAACAGGATCAGATATCTCCCTAATGGTAATAAGAATATGACTATAGACCTTTATAACCTACAGCCATATTCTGAATGGCTAGATGAATGTTTCTAATGTCCACAGCCACCCCATATTCAAAAGAACTGATCAGAAGCATAATTAGTTGTGGGTGACTGGGACATGAGGCCTGGGCGGCTGAGGTACAGGGGGTCAACCCATAACAGTTGTGGTAGCACTTGTGGGGAGGGCAGGGTTAAAGTGGCATTTGAGAAAGGGGCAGGGGCCAGAGTGACATCTGGAGACAGAGTAAAGTTCAAGGCTGCCATGCTGCAGAGGAGTGCTGCCAAATTCAGTGTTTCCCTGTCATGGTGGCAATGGGATTTAGCAGTATTGGGTGGTGGCTGTCAGGGGCATTAAGCCCCTGATTCTTGACTGTGCTAACACTTCCCCCTGCAATGGGTGTAAGACTGACTATGGGACCAGGGCTTCCAGGAACATTGCAACTAGGACACAGATCTTACTGGTTATGCCTCTGAAGGTAGTGCCTAGGATCTTGCTGACCAAATGAAAAACTCTACCTAGTTGTATTATCTCTTTTACTGTTTCCTTTCCTCCTGTTTTGAATTCCACTGAGATTTCCACTTCTAACATGTAGTTGTATTCTCTCCTGCCTCATTCCCCCCTCCTTTTCTTCCATCAGTCTCTGTTCTTTCTACCTTCCATTTAGAACCAGATGAGGAATCTTCAACCCTGATTCTGGTTCTAAAAATAAACTTTGGCATAGAAGCTGCCTAGTCTATTTGGAGAATAGGCATTGAACTGGGAAGGAAGCTGTGGTTTCCTTTGGAAGTGTTGCTTCAGAAAGATTTGGGTACATTTCCAAAGGTTGAATTTGTTCTGTGGAAAATCTTGGATCTGTGCAAATTCCTTTTATTCTGTGCATTCCTTTTGTTCTGTGTTATTTGACAATAACAGTCAAACCTTTTCTATACTTATGCCAATTTTAACCAAACAGCTTTTCCGCATTGGTTTCAGTAAAATGAATAATATGCATATCAAAAACCCCTGGCAATAATCCTAATACTATTCATTAATGAGTCAGGTAATACTCTTCTTTCCACTGCCATAAATCTGGAGTAAATGGAGTGTAAATAAGATGAGAACCTACCTTTAGAAAGTGCATAGTGTGCAATATGTATTGAAAATATTTATCTTTCAGTTATGCAGCAGCAAAGAATTTTGGGAGAGAGTTGGAATGCTTCAAGATGAACAGAGTCTTGATAAGAGGATGATGGCATTCCCAGTTTACAAGAAGCTAATAAACTTAAATCAAAAGCACCATCAGATTCAGAGAAGACAGACTACACTATTTTAATGTTGTTTGAGTATTATTGGAATGAACCTAACAGGCCAATCATGCATTTTCCTATTATATCGCTACTACTAAAGGAAGATTAAGAAGTTAAAATAAATAAATATCAATTTCTCTAGAGGATTAAGATTTCATCAGTCCCTTCCCTCATTAGTTACAATTGGAATGGCAACATTAGTTTGCAAATCACATTTCCACCTAAATTGTTTGAAATTCTTTAATTATAAGTAATTCATCATATTACTGGGATGGAAACAACAGCAATATTTATACTTTTTTTCTTTTGTTAAGGATTTTTTGTGTACTTTATAGCTTCTCATACAGGTCAGAGGAATACCAATACAGTTGGGTGCGTCAGCTGGGCAGCTGTTACACACAGGGCAATGGTTAATTCTGGTTGCTACCATGCCACCACTGTGATTATACAACTGTGGCAGCAGCATTTTTTTTTTAGCTACCTTCCTCTGCCCATCCAAGGCAGCACCTGAGACAGCTGCCCAGGTTGCCCCGCTTTTGTTATGCTACTGATACAGGCCCTACAGTGTTGAACCTTAAAGTAAACAGTAACGTATACAAAGTTGTACACATAAAGGAGAAGGAGGAGGGTCATCCTGACCAGGCTTAGAGAATAATGAAGAGGCCCAGCAAAAGACTCATTGAAAAATAAAGAAACAAGGGAAAAGGAACAGTTTGCTCTTTTAAATTCTTAGTTTAATGTCAGGTAATTGAGCTTTATTGAGCTTTTAAAGTCATAAACATAACATCTTCCAAAATGTTATTCCTTTAAATCTGCTTCAAGTCATGAATATTACTGATTATTTAGCTTCTATCTCACTCCACCTTATAAAAATAGTTCATTGGACATACACACACTTATTATGGTTCACTCAGTGCAGTAGAAATTATAAACAAAAGACTTGAGCCCTACATAATGACTTAAGAAGTGATACAAAGGAGCTGGGGGGCAGGGGAGGCTGTGGGTTGATCATTACATTTGAAAAAGTTAAATGCCAAATACTACTACTCACAGCCATCATAAAGCAGGAAAATATATCGAAGTGAATACAGTTGTGGTGTAAATGCAGGCAGTTCCAATGTTCTCCAATGGTCAATGAAGCTGGACCTACTCACAGCAAGGCTGAATAGTCAAAATAAGTTACTGGTATTAAAATAAAATCTTTCAGTTTATTTTTATTAAACCTGGAGGCGAGATGCACATTTGTACTCCTGTCTGAGCTGTGAGAGAATGGAGTGCAGAGGAGCGCTTTATTCTTTGTCCTCTGGGGCAGACTGAGCATGCTCCTACTTAGTAACAGGAGAACAGCAGCTCGCTGGCTGAACAGAGGGAGGGAAGAGGAAACTTCAGGCAGCACTGCCTCTCCATAGCAGCAGGCAGGTGGAAGTGTTCCCTAAGATTTTAACAAGGGCCTCTCCTACCCTCCCCGCAACATGCACAAAAAGCCACTAGTAGAGCATATGCTGCAATGAGGAGTGGGTCAGGGACTGGGAAGCCGATTTGGCTTGTTGTGACAGCTAATCAGAAACAGTTCCTCATACCCTCCCCCTGTTACACCTTTTTTAAAAGTCTGTACACGAAGTGCATTTGAGACAAATATTTAGTTTGTTCCTGAAAAATAAACAGTGCATATTGACAGAAGTAGTATTATGGAACTACTGACAACCTAAGACCATGTTCAACTTGTGTCATTTGAGAGTGAAGTTGGAGGAGCAGATGAAGATCTTTCAGAGACACCTTGGTCTGTCCTTCCCTGTGAACATCTTCTGAATACAGCTGTCACGTTTAGTGCAATCTATTTCTTTCCGAAAACGATGGTACCAGAAAGCCAGTGTATGGTACCAGAAGGCCAGCTAACAGTTCTCTTTGTAGCCAAGACCTCTCAACAAGCACAGAGCTGGTAGAGTCAGTCCTTCCACCTTCCCTTCCATTTGGTCCTGACACACAGTATGGAGGTTACAAAGAACATTTTAGGGCCTGGAAGCTTGGCTCAGAAGTCAGACTGATGGTAGCTACAAAAGGAGAGGCCTCCTCTCCACCCCTTGCTACTTAAACCCCATCTTAAAGCCAAGGCTGCAACTGAACTCCAACTAGCTTCGAGCATCAAGGGCAATAAAAAGTCCTTTTTCAGATATGTGGGG